TTACCATACTTCAAGGTGAGTCAATGTGGATGTCCACCTGATATACAGGGCACGCATATTTTTATGAACAAAAATGACCAATTATCTTTATAAATGTTGTTAGATGACAGAACATGTAAAAGATGTAATATAAATTCTCTTGATGATGAGAAGCATTTTGTCCTTAAATTCCCTTCCTTTAAAAGTGAAAGGAAAAGACTTTTTGAAGATTGTGATCTCAAGTCTAATTTTTACCAGATGATATTTTTCTTGAGGTAATAAAAAATGCGAAAGCCCTTTCACTATACCTTAAAGATACTATCTATAAATAGTGAAGTTTTTTATTTGATTTTTTTAGTCTTTATTTATTTCAGTTTTATTGTTTGTTTTTATTACATTTATTTATGTCTTGTTATTCTCTTTACCTTACTAAATCCTCTGATGATTTAGTTGTGTAATAAAGTTATTATTATTTATATGTCTGAATGTATGATTATAAAATACCTGCTCTATAAATGGAAAATGCTCATGATCAAACTTTGCGAGATTTTAATTCACTTTCATCATCAGTGAATTTTTTGATTTAATTGAATATTCATAAAAATATTGATGGCTTTACAAAGGTACTAGATGAATCAATCATGATCCACTGATTTTAGGTATATTAATTCATAAAAGTACCTCTGCTGTAACTGAGAACTGCATGGATTAGCCTGCCAATCTAACCTCAAATCAGTAATGAAATACACAAGGATCAAGATGTCCAACAAAAATAAATTGACTACTATTACCGGGGTTACCATTTCTCAGGAGAAAAATGTAGCAGTGATGAATGCAGCACCGATATCCATGGGTCTGTTATCGAACCGGGGACCGCCATCTTGGCATCCGGCTACAGATGATATCAAAGATGCGTGTAAGGAAGCCGCCAAGTACTGTCAAGATAAGGGTGTTGATATCTCCAAACTAGCCATGCATTTTACACTGGACCACGATGAAATACCAACAACGTTTGTAAGCACCGCCAGGTGAGTGTCCAAGAACAGAAGAACACAGACATATCTTATGTTGCCATTGTGGAACAACTGTCAATTTAGTTTTTTTTGTTACAAACACAATCATATACAGTACAGTCTGAGCATAACTTAACATTCAGTTTTAAGCTTATAAAATCACTATATATCTGAATCAGCCTAAATATGTTTCACATAGTTAAATACCAGCAAAAAGTTGAAATTATTGATGACAATGATACACACTTTAAAAATGGAAATTTAAAAATGCCAGCTTGGAAGTAAAATTACACTCCGACTGTATTGTACACCCATCGTTTGTTTCATATTCAAAAACACACAGGTGTTTTTGAAAATAGCTTTTCATCACTCAGTTTAAATCTGAATTCAGCTATTTGAAAAAATATCTTTTTCTTTTCTTTTTCAGTCTAAGCATACTTGAAAGTAACCTTGCCTGCGTACACGAAAAGCTATCAACACTAGAGACAAACACAATGGCTGATGTAATGAACAGGTGAGTAAGTTTACAATTACAGTCCCCATCATAGGCAGTTGTACATTACTACAGTTCTAGTTAATAAATGAACTTTGGACTTTCTCAAAGTAAACAAATGTAATACGTACGTCAGATTGTACACAGTGAATTAGTATATGAATTCAAACTTGCAGGTTTGAACACACAAATGATCACATGCGTCAGTTACCATAATAATGATGCTTATTACAGTTACAGAATACTTTTTCATCATTTTGTCCCAATAATAGGCCATATTGTCAGCAAACCAACTAAAACAATGTTAACACTTGCTGTATCAAGATTACAGTTTTAGATATTCCCTCAGCTAATAATGGTTGATCACTTTTAGTCAAATTGTATTTTCACAGATATTTTAGACCGTTGGGTAACAAGACATGGGAAGGAATCGAAGTGGCTAACTACTGGAGACAGTTAGAAACAATGAAGAACTAACTAATCTCCTATTATCATGACAACAGCGCCCTCAAAATCCATATGTATAAATCTGTTGGTAGATTGCCCACTGTCCATGCAATATTACCAAGTAAAAGTGTACTCTTCGTAGGATTTAGTGATAAATACTCCATGTGGCTATTCAGAAAATTTACTTCAACAATTGAAACTGTTTTATTATTTCATTTTATAGCAAAATTACAGAAATGAAATAGTGAACATTGAAATTTATGTTGTACAGAAGTTTTGATAAATATGTCTATAATATAAATAAAATGAGATGGATCTGAGAGAATAAATGTGTGGCCTTTGATTAATAATTTGATGTTGGTGACATATAAGCGATGTTTCTGGTCCAAAGTGATATTGTAAAAACTGAAGTATATATTAATACCGCTACTAAATTTGTTGAGCAGAGCTATTATTACTTGATTGTCTGTTATCGGTCACTACAACCTTTTAGCTCTGCTGTTGACTTAGTCGAGCAGAGCTTATCATGTGAGTGATTGTCTGTCGTCGTCCGTATCAACTTTTTACTTTTTCGACTTCTTCCTAAAACCTACAATTGTTGTTACTTTGATACTTGGTGTATATGTACCTTGGACAGACCTCTCTCAGATTTGTTCATTTTGTTATGAATTTTTCAAATCTATAATTTGGATGAATATTTTTGATATTTTTGGTAAAAAGTGATATTTTCGACTTTTTGTCAAAAACATCATGTCCAATTGCTTTGATATTACATATATAGGTACTACATGTGGACCTTTCTCAGATTTGTTCATTTCGTGATGATATTTTGAATTCTCTAATTTTGGTGATTATTTTTGTAATTTTTGGTAAAAAGTTATAATTTCGACTTCTTGTTAAAAAACAAAGGTGAAATTGCTTTGATATATTGGTACTACATGTGTACCTCTCTCAGATTTGTTCATTTCGTGATGATATCTTCAATTCTCTAATTTTAGTGAATATTTTTGTCATTGTTGGTAAAAAGTGATATTTTTGACTTCTTGTTAAAAACCGCCAGTCTGATTGCTTTGATATTACATATATAGGTACTACATGTGGACCTCTTTCAGATTTGTTCATTTTATGATGATATCTTCAATTCTCTAATTGCAATGTGCATTGCTAACAGCTGAGCTATCTCAGCCTAGAAGCTGCTTGTTATATAATACAAGATGACTTCATCTTCACTCACAGTCATTATTGAGGCTTGGATAATGGCAGCTTATCACACAGCAGGCTACCTGCGCGAATGATGCAGTTTTTCCCCTCAAATCATATGGGTATATTTCTTGTGCAAACAAAATGCCATATCTAAGGCTCAATTGTAGTCAGATTCCATTTCCTGTGAGTTTTACCCTGATTATGCTGCTTTCAGCCCCTTTCAGGGAATCAATACAACAACAAAAAAAAAAAAAAAAAATACAAAGAAGGGGTACCCAATTTTTTTTTATTTCCCCTCCCTGAGCAGCCATTTTGAACGGCAAATTCGGATTACAAGAAATAATTACCCCGAATTTCAGAAAATTCCTGTGGCAACATGTTATCCATCGTGACGATCATCCTTGGCCAGTGTTTCTATGTTATATTAATAATAACTTGGCATAATACATGGATTCCCACTGACCTAATTAGCTATAATTGATTTTATGTAGCAGAAAGTTATATCCTGCTTACATTATATACTTACCAGGATACTTACCCCGGTAATTTGTATTTCCCAAAATGTGATATCATATACAAAAAACGATGACACCATTTTGGGGGGAAAATAATCGCTCTATGGGTACATCTCGGTTATTTGAACAATACTGACTGTTATCCATCGCAGACCAGTTTATTTTTCACCCAAATCGTGTGCCTCGTACTTACCCTGGTAATTTGTATTTCCCAAAATGTGATACTGTAAAATGACTAATTTTCACTGGGTTTAAATTTCGCTGATTTACCATTTCAGGCATAATCAGTGGGTTTTAAATTCACGGTTTAATCATTTAGATAATGTGTTCTATGCTAAATTTTACATATTCACTGGGTTTTAATTTAGCGCATTTTCCAGTCAGCGAAATAAGCAAAATTAAAACCCAGTGAATAATTAATCCTTTTACAGTATCATATACAAAAAACGATGACACCATTTTGGGGGGAAAATAATCGCTCTATGGGTACATCTCGGTTATTTGAACAATACTGACTGTTATCCATCGCAGACCAGTTTATTTTTCACCCAAATCGTGTGCTTCGCCATGAGGGGGGGGGGGATAGCAGGTACAGGTTGCAGGAAATAAAAAAGGCATTTTACGTTTTCACAGAAATGAAAATGAAAATTCCACTTACAGTAAAAAATAGGGTTTTACACTTCACAGATTAGGCAATTTACATTTTACATTTTTATAATGTTGTTTAAGAATCAAAATTGGAAATTGTGTACGAATTGCCACATTTAATGTGGAAAATGCTTTACTAGTATATGCTTACAAAAAAATAAGATCTTTGTACAAAAAT